GTTTTTGCTTAGATTGTTTAATCAGTTTGCATTACTATGCTTTGTAATCTGAGCAATTACTTTTTTTTTATTGTAGTGGGTAGAAGGTCTTACTACGTAGCTCAAACTCATGTTTTCAGCCTCCATAGCACTGGGATTACAGATGTTCTCCACCACGCTCAGTCTCAGCGGGGCCAGTGTGCCATGTGTTGTCAGGGATCAAATCCCGGCAGCTGCACTTACCTAAGCAGGCGCTTAGTACACTAAGCTGTCTTGCCAGCCCTTGACCAACTACTTTGAAGATAGCAGTATACAATATATTAACCATTGTTAATTTCTTACTGTCTGGTTTTAAAATTCTATATTGTTTTTCTCTTTAAAAATAATTCAAAAACAAATTTGAAAACCATTAATTTTAAATTTTAGAATTAGAGGGCTGGCCAGATAGCCCAGCAGATAAAAGCATCTCCTTAGGTAGATGCAGGGACGGGGTTCAATCCCCAGCATGCCATGCCAGCCTTGCCCCAGGGCACACTGAGACTGCAATTGAGACTGGGTATGGTGGCACATACCTGTAATTCCAGTGCTTGGAAGGCTGAAAACAAGAGGCTCACTAGGAGTCCAATCTGGGTAGTGAGACCCTGTAGACCCTGTACTAAATTTTAAAAATAGGAAATAAAAGAATTTTAGAATTAGAGTTTACTTGGAAATTTTTTTTTTTTAATTTGGAAGTATCATACAATTAGAAATTCAAGCTTTTGCCCATAAACCTCAAAATGCTAAGGTCAATTTAAAATACTTTGTAAATATTAAAATAGCTTTATCAGTTTAAAAGTTACTTTAAGATCTACTGCCTCCTTCAGACTTCATTTCTGACTTCTAAAATTAAACTTCTGAAATTCTGGAATCTCAGTATATATAAACTTTTTAAATCTGAGCATGTCTGAGTTTATTTTATACCTGATTCAAAACACCGTTTCCCTTAACCTGTCAGCAGCTCAACTGAGCAGTCAGACGCTATTACTCGATATCTTGTCTGACATGAGGACACGAGTCCAAAGAGAAAGATAGCACAAATTGGTGCCACACTTCAGTAAATAGAGACATTTTATTTTTCACCAAGCTAATTCAATCCAGTTCAGTTAACTCTTTTTTTCTCCCATGAGGACAGATCAAAAAAGGCAGTCATGAATGACTGAGCTTGTCATGTGCTTGACACGTCAGTATGTGAGTATAAAGGAGACCACAAGGGAGGGGCTCAGCCTCTGGAGCTCACACAATGCCGGTTACAAGGGCCTCACTCAGACGTGCCCTCGGCTGGGCTAGGGAGCTCCGCTCACTACACATTCAGGTACAGTGGAGAAGGACTGGTTCTGCTGCCCTGCGTGCCCTTCCCCTCACAGTTGCTGCAGCCTTTTAAACTTAACCATTGTTAAGAATTTTCAGTGCAGTTGCTTAGTTCACAGGTGTCTGTATATGTAGTTAGGGTGAGAATCATCCCAATTATCTGCTAGATTCAAAAATCTTCTGAAGATTCTCAGGATCATTGCCTTACCCATTTTCTACATATAAACTGTATGGCTTCCCCTGTCATGTTTCCTAGCTCTTCTCCTTGCTCTCTTTTCATTGTCTAGTCCTCAAGTTCTTGCTTTCCTTTTAGTTGTATTATACCTTTCTATTTGTATTTCTTTTGAGTTCTTATACTAGGGAAACTATACGATATTTACACATGGGTGTCTGGTTTATTTCACTTATGAGTATATCTTCAAGTGGCATCTGCTTATGTGTAAAGGCTTCGAGTTGATCATTCTTTATAGCTGAGTAATGCAATTTCTGACACTGCCAGGCAAGTGGAAGACCCAATACTACTATGGACTACTGCACTCTTTTAGAATATTTTGTTGAGTTAACATACCTATAATGTTCAAATGATGGAACTAAACAAAAAGGATACAGATGAATGTTCATGTTGTATCTGTGTATTCAAAATGGTTAGGATAGATATATAGTTAATTATCTTAATGAATAGAGGGATTTGTTCTAATGGTGTTTGTAAATAGGATATCATGTCTGCATCTTGTACAGCAAATAACCACTAGGAAGAGAGTATGCAATGTGTTAATTATTGGAACTGACCTACCAATTTGATTTGAAACTGTCTCATTGTTATTTGTTTCTCAAAATTATGGGAAAAAAAAATTTCAGTTCCTCACTGAGTTTCATCTTACTTTCCTAAGTGAAAGTTATTGGTTACTATGTATTGTTAGGTTTGTGATGTTGATAAAATCATTGTCCTACAAGCCTGTTCCTTAAAAACCCTTATTAGAACAAGTAGAATATTTGTAGAATTCCTGAGACATAACATTAGAATTTATAGTTATAATGTTCATTATCAAAAGATGTAGTAGGATGACTTGTGCCAGCAAATATGAAACATCTGAATGTTAACCTTGTCAGAAAACTGCCCATTGCTCTCTGGATGAGGTCCAGTATTCTCTTCTTTGGCCTCAGAACCCTTCAGGGGCTCCTTCCCACAACTGCTGCTCGTATTCTAGTCTCTTCAGTATTCTGCCACAATGGTACTGTCCTGAAGCTCCAGACCATGCCAGATGATCTACAGAGCTCTCCTCCTCCTCTAGCCTACCCAGTCTACTTTTTCCATTTAAACCCAGGGCCTTGTGTATGATGGGCAAGCACTTTATCACTGAGATACAGCCTAGCTCCTTTCTGTAACTTCAGATCCTACTTTTTCCCATGAAATAGGCCCTGTTTGCTGGCTTAGTATAGTAGAACATTGCTTTTCTCTGTATACTCTAAAAGTACAGTTGTCAAGAGTGCTTCCCCTCTTCCTCCAAGTATAGCTCTGCCCCATGTCACCATGAGTTGGTGTTGCCTAATCAGTTTATGAGCCTCTCAGTTAAGGACTTCAGCAGTACAACCAGTGCTCATGGAGCTCTGCTTATGGAGAGGAGGACTAGTTCTTCATGTGCGTGTCGCACACAGGAGGATAGACAGCTTTAGTCACTGGGAGGACTGTACACAAGTCACCCAACTTCTCTGTGACTTGCTGTTGTGTTTTTAAAATGAAGGTATGGAAGATACAACATTATGGAACCATATAACCCCCTTCAGGTCTGTCTGAACTTTGATAAAGTACTTAAAACAGTGTCTGGTATAATGCTACACAATGTTTACGTGTTAATTGCTCTGCCATTGTTACTACAACGTAAGTTCATGTTTCTTAAACATGTGTCCCCGCTAGTCAGTGGTCTGTGTTTTGAATTTTAACTTGATCATCATACTTTTGCTACTCCATTTTACAGCAAAAGAATCGATCATAAATGTTAAGTAATGCTCTTAGATTCACATGGTGCAAGGCAGAACCAGGATTTGAATGCCTATTGCCTTCTTTGCTCCAGTCCCTCAATCACTTCTGTGCTCCTGAGCACCTTGGTGTTCTCATAGACATGGGTGTAAAAACATTTGTGCCTGAGGGTGTCGGTCAGACAGAGAGGAATGTACCAGAATGTGTTTCTTGAGCCATTAGAAGCCATGCTGTGAGATAACGGGGCACAAGGAGAGTGTGGTCCTGCTGGATGCCTCTCTTGGCTGGCATGGATTGGAAATCACGTGTCAGCGGCTGCTACCACTGTACTCTAGGTCAAGGTGAACTATGTTAAAGGTCTGGATTTTTTTTTTTTCAGCCACTCTTTAATCAGAGTCTTAGGCTTTGTTGGTATGGTGACAGTAGTCCTAGAGCAGGTACAGTACCACAGAGATGGTGAGATACAGAGAATGAGACTGGCTGCAGCCACATAAGCATGACAACAGTGCACTGTAGGTATTTAAGCATGTTTCACTCTTTTCTGCCATGTCACCCAGCTCTGCTGACATACAAAACTCAGCAGGATCTCTACCTAGAAAAGGTCATCAGCTAGTTCTTGGAAGCTCATGCTACAAATCTTATAATGAGACTTTGGCTGTGTGGCAGTCTCTTGATGGCTTTGTATGCATGTATACCTTAAGATACATGCTTATAAATATTTTCTAACTAGGATATCCAGTCTATAGTTTCTGTCACACAATTAAAAGTTTCAAAAGTGAATTTCTTACATCTTCAAAGGATTCCAGTTTTTTTGACTGATAATATGCAAATAATGAAAAAATACATATCTTACAGTAAGTCTTTTCTTGTGTGCATGGAATAAAAAGGCCTGTAGGACAGCAATGCTTTGTAGCGGTTCTGAGGCTAATACTCTTAAGTGCTGGGTAAAAATTAAACTTGAAAAGCACTGATGAAATATTTACTCATCAGATGGCTTTGAAGTTGAGCTTCTTTTGGGGTATAGTCCTGGTCCTAATGGACAAGTTTCAAAGGCAAAAATGGTTATAACATTCAGCTGTGATGTTTTCTTATTCTTTGCATGGAAGAAATCTATATTGCTTTGGTCTGCTTCAGTCTTTAAGTTTTGAAAGCTGGCTACTTAGAAATCACATTAATGACAGAAATGGTCCATACCAATCTGAATTCATTCTCATTGATAGGGTAATGTTTGATAGTTAATTTTTCTAATACCTCTAGCATTTTAAACAAAGAGTACTTTAACTCTTTTGTTCTTTCCGAACATAAATTTACTTAAGCCTCCATGGTTTTATATCAATTCCTAAGGTGATTAGTGTGTTATAAAATGATTAATGTTATAAACTAGTTTCATTAAGTATCTTGTTTAGTAAAATCACTATGCTTAAAGATGTTTAGAAACTATACATTTAGATCTATTACTCAATTCTGATAACTGAAGAATTTTCTTTCATAGTTTAAAATTGTAGCCGAGTGAGTGTTAAGAATGTTGAATGAATGCTGTTTTTATTTTACATCTTGGATTCAGTTTCATTTCTCTGAGTAAATTTGTACTTCACAATTTTTTATTGCAATGTTGGTGAAGAATTTTCTAATTCTATGTTTATTTCCATGTGGACTATGACACACTTTTAATGTTTATGTTTGTTTTATTACTTAGTTTTCATATGAATCCGACAAGCAGTGAAGACCTCAGGAAAATCCCGGTAAGTTGCTGAGGGGGTTAGAGGCTTACCAGAGAACAAATCAGTCTGCTCTCAGGCACATACAGTCCTCAGAATATCTCCCTCTCCTTGAATATTTCAGTTACTGAAGTGTCATCTACTTTATTTGGGAGGAGCAAGAGGGAAAGTGATATTCAGCCTTTGCTTTTGTATAGTAGGGTGTAGCTTCTTTATATGACTAGTGGAAGTTCAAGCAGTTATAACTAATGCAATTTAGAATTAAATATTTTGTTTGCAGTTTGTTTAGCAACAGTATGCTAAAGTGGACATTTTATTTATGCATTAACAACACGTGCAGAAGACTGATGTGTTTGTTGTTGTTGGAATTGTGACTAAAAAAACAGTAAAACTGCTTGTTACCATCCAACAATCAGAAAAGCAGCCAGCCAGAGACCTAGTTAATCAAGAAACTATTTGAAAAACAAATAGTTTAGGGTATGTACCTTCCTGGTCAGAACAAACCCATATACTATATATTACTAGGATTGTCAGCAACTAGCCAAATACCCTCTTGTATTTTGCAAGAATTATTTTGCTATCTTAACTTCATTTTTATTGTTATCTGAAGTCCAGTGTTGGATTTCAGAGTTCTCTTGCATCTGTAGTCAATTCTAAATGTATTAAATCTAGATAATAAGTTACTTTACAAAAATATGGACAAATATTCTTAGTAGAAATCTAAATTCTCACTGAAAACCAGAAATAGAGCCTTTATTTCAAGAGTCTTGTGGTTGCTGTTTCAACCATCTGTCCTTAATGTGTGTGATCCAGATGTATAATATGAATTTTTTAAGCTATCACATATCACGAGTTTCTATGATGTGATATGCCTAAAAGAAGTAAAGGTGGAGTTAGAATTTACTTTATAAAAGCAATTGTCTGTCCTTAAAATTGTAGAAAACATTGTAGAAGCACAGGATGTTGTACTGTGTTTGTGCTGTTTTATGTAAATGATTTGTGAGTTTTGATGTTTCATAAATACTAAAGTCTTTATAATATGGCAGTCTGGCAAGAAATGTCAGAATATATGAAGTCAGCCTTTGATCAGATAGGAAAATGAATTCTATCAGGCGGTTACTTAATCTCAAACAAAATGCAACATCAAAAAATCGATTTAATGTGTAGCCATTGTTTATTAAGTAACCTTAATTACAATTTCTATGTGCTTGTAAATGTACTTTTCCAAATCTTGTAATTTATTGCTATTAAAGCATGCTTAGAAATCTTTAAAGAAATAAAATGTGAAAATTGTTTTAGTTAAAGGATTTAAAGGTGATAAAAGAATCCATGATGTGTGATTATTTTTCTCAGGAATGCTAACTATTGTAAATGACAGTTAAAGGATTACTAGGTGTTGTTAATTTACTGCAAGATACAATTAAGAGGAGAAAGCTCATCCTTAGACTGACTTATTGAGGAAAAGTATTTGAACAATTTTTATGTTGGAGATTATAAGATGTTTGAAGTAATTTACATTAAGTTCTCCAGTAATAGACGTCCACCAAGTTATTTTCTTCCCTTCTGGATGTAGTATTTTGTAATTAAGTTTGTACGTCGTCTCTGCTGGTGCCAACACCTGTCTGTGAAAGCGCGGTGTTTAAGCAGGAGCAGTAGCCAGTTGAAAGGGCAGCGTGAGCTCTTTAAGGCCTAATTAAGAACTGAAAGGGAGATGAAGGGAGGAGGACAAAAGATGTGAAAGTAGCTGAGATGATATTCCCAGAGCAAAGTTCCTCATTAGAACAATAATGAGATGATCGGAGAATGCCAAACCTTCATCTTCTCTCACTCTCTCCCCTCCAGTTGCCTTGGATGTCAGTTAGTGCCCCACCAATATTTGGTTGCCAGGACAACCTTTCTTTAAATCTTCAGTTATTTTGAGCCCTGATAATTTGCTTTTGTTTAAATTTAAATATTGTAAAAAATGTATATTTCCTATCTTAAAGGCTAGATTATGTGTAAAGTAAAAATAGGCCGCTTGTAATTCTCATTCTGTGTACAACTGTTATTTAAAATTCTGATTAAAACACTTCATGTGATGGTTCTGCTGCTTGCTCACCCAGGCCCCGCTTCTGTATCTGCATGTGGACATTTTTTAGCAGACACAGAACAGGCATGAGCAGGATTGGTTGTGAAAGGGGAAAAGAAAAAGAAAAAGAAAAATTTACATTAAATTTCAAAATAAGACATCTTAACAACATACGTGCTGTCCCTGTGGAGCGCTGTAGGTCCGCATACTGGGTACCTAAAGGCTTCATTGTGAGTTGTGTTTGGTTTGTACCAGTTTGGAAATTTCTCACTATTCAAAATTTTTCCAAGAACAATAGTAAATATATCTTGAAAAAAGTTTTTAATGTTTCCCTGAGAGTTTTCCCCTTTAAGCAAACTAACTTTATAACCAGAAGATAGTTTTCTGTTGTTTACACTAGTTAATACTAATCTTTGTATTCTTTTCTCTGCATTTATATTAGCAGAAGGATATAGATTTATTGCATAGATCTGTCAGTGTAAGAATCTTATGCCTGAAATTAGAAGGTTTGTATGGATTTCAACTATTGAATAAAATCTGGAACCAAACCTGAAGCTGTTTTTAATTATTTTATATTCTTTTCCAGAATGCAGTTAATAGTTACATGTGTTTCTAAGATGTTTTCTTACCCAGAAACTTGATGCTGAAATTTAGAATAAAATTGTCACATTAAAGGACAAAGGGAAGTTTTACTGAAAATAAGTCACTTGAAGGGGTGGGTAATATGTTGGTATATTCTCAGCTATGGCTGGAAAGTGTTGAGCAGCATTCTGAGATAATAGATTACCTTGGGAGATTGTTAGATTAATTTATATCATATTAACTTAAGCAAATTATATCAAAATTAGACACTTGATATCTTTTCATCCTCGTTGTCTTTAGAGAAATGCTAAAAAATTTTAACTGCATTAGCCATTATTATTTATACAATGTTTAATATAACTGTAGATGATTTTTAAACTGTGTATTATTTACTTTGGAAAAATCAATTTGTTGCTGTATAATTTCATTAAGATTTGAGACTGAAACAGATGCTATTATTACGTTAAGAAAAAACAGAAAGCAGTCAACCAATCAATAACATATCACATTTAGTTTAATTTCATTAATTCCTTCAGTTCTTATAAGAGCTCTCATTTTTCAGTGAATGTTATTAGCAAAATGAAATCATTATAGTTGGGACAATTAATTGTAAAAATGCAATTCAGAAAAATCACTTGGTAGACTACAAATTCTGAGTTGAAAGAGACCATGGAGATCATCTTGTTTGTTAGATAAGAAAAGACCTAATTTGATTACTTTCAACTTGGGCTGAGAAGAAACTGTACCTTTGATAAATTTCAAAAATATATTTACCTCCATGGTCTATCTTTGTGAAAATATAATTAAGACAGTTATAGTGTTATATAACCCAAACTACTCATAGACAGTTAAATGAACTAGTAGCTACATGAACCACTGTGTGTGTGTAAACTTACTTGATGCAAAAGAAAAAGCCAGCACCCTTAGAATTGTTATTTGATGGTTTTAGAGTAGTGTTTTCAGGGACAAAATAATATTAAATTATAAAGACACATTTTTCCAGTTTTTAATGCCAAAATAAGTCGTTTTAAATATATCTTACAGAATTTACACTCATGACCTTTTAATACCTCCTCTGTGCATTCTTGTTAACTCTTATGTTTAATACTTCAGTAGCCCTGTGAATAATCTCATCACCTCCAAATGCTCTTACTCATTCTTGCCACTTGGATTTTCCTAGAATGTAACTTCAGTCATGCCATTTTTCTATTTAGATACCTTCAGTGGTTTCTCCTTTCCCATAGTACGCAGTCTGAAACTCCTTAGCATAGCTTGTAACGTCCTTGGTGGTTGTGTGAAGCCTTCCATTTTAGTGTCTCTGCTTCCTGTTTTTCCCTCATTTTCTGGCCATTCTCCAGTAATAGACATTGTGCACTGTGCCTAAGGCTTTGATTCCTAATTGAACAACCAGCCCTTGCAGTGCTCCTAACGCCCGCTGTGCATTCCTGCCTGCAGTGTCTCTGATGGCCTAGTGTAAGCTCTGTCTGCTCCACAAAGCCTGAGAACTTCTAAGGAATGGGAGTTTTTCAATCCTGAGTTTATTGGTTTGTCCTGGACATAGAAGAGTGCTTCAGTAACCCCATATCAAATTGATGTCTGAACATCAGCTTATTTCTCTGGTGCTCTAGGGTGGGGATGCCTGGTGAAGAGTTCAACTTTGGCCTTCCTCATAATAAGTTCTTGCACCCTGAGTTCTGGAGTTCATATCAAAGTAGACACCAAACATGGAAAAGACAATTTCTGTGGCAAAAGGGTCTTTCTTCCATAATCAGTCCTTATTCACCATCCTTCATTAAATGGATTCTTGTAGTCTTTTAAGAGCAAGAAAACCAATTCCTTCATATTTTAGTTTATTTTCCTTAAATTGAAATGTTTTTAACAAAAGTTATGAAATTCATTTAAGTTGTTGGATTTGGTGATAGAACTATGTTTAAAAGGCATAAAAATCACTATATTTGGGCATTTTCCAAATGAAAAGTGTAAATGCTACACAGTGTCAATAAGACATTACAGCATCTTTCTTGATTCTTGAGAAATATTTTTCTATGGCTGCTGGAGACCCATTAATCCTAGAGTTATTGTAATGAAAATTAAATACCATTTTCTTTTTTTGGTTGTATTTATGTTTATGTGTATGTTTCTGTGTAAAATTTTTTATCAATACATTAGGATTACCTAGTAAATATATGATGTGAGTAGTATACAAATATACTAACAGTAAATATTATCATGGTTTGTAATTAATTGAACTCTGAAAACCAAGGTAAAAAGAGAAATATGACAAATTACATATATATTATTATAGGCAGAGGAAAATACTAGCTATTTGAGGGGAAAAAAATCTCTGCCTCTATACTAAAAAACCAGAAGTTATCTGGAGGATTTTATAAGGTTGTTCATTGGTTTAATTTTAAGTGCTCTCAACAGTTCCTAGAAGATCGGGAGAAGTGTATTGATATTGTTGCTTCTTACAGCTGTCTTCCATAAAAAGCCCATGTAGAGTGTTGTGCCACATTTCAATGGAAGCAATTCAGTGAGGATCTGTGTCCAAATGTGTAGTTTGCAGTATCTTCTAGTTTCTCTAAGTTAATTCTTAAGCATCTTTATTTTTATTCTCTCTTAGGTATAGCAGCTCTTAGTTTAAATTATAGAGGACCTTAATCCTTAATTTGGTCTTAAATTATTTGTGAGATTCTTAGATTAGGAAGCTGTTCATACTGAACAAAGGGAGTTAGAATTTAAGGGAGTTATAACCAGTGCTTTGGTGCTTCTGTCCTAGTTTCAGCTTCAGAACTAGTTAGCATGAGGACAGCAATGTGTAATACAAAACCCATGGTTGAATACCTTTCATCTTGATCTTCTAAATGTGTACCATTTCTAATGTCTTATCAATTATTATACTTTCTTTAAAATAAAGCAAAAAATACAAGGAAAAAATTAACATTTCTTGAAAGCATGTGTCAATATTCAATTATTTCCCCAATCTTAACTATATCTGTTAATCTGAGCAACAGATTTGATGATAAAAATAGATAATATAACAACCATTGTTAATTAGCTATTCCTGTTTTGAAAATCTATAACATGTATTATTGTATGTTACCCTGTTTGTGTCTTTTTTTCTATTTGTTTTTACTCTTCAAAATAAAATAAGATAAAATTAAATTAAAAAAGAACTAGTCGGCAAATCTGGCAACTTTTACACTAGTTCTAGCAGAGGATGTTCTGAGGGAAACTTTGTCAGGGTTGAAATACCAAAGTTTAAATGCTAAACAATTCTTAATGTTTGCCCTTGATACGCTTTTTGCTAAAGTGACAGCCTGTACCCCATTCCAGGACAGCAATCCTTTCGATGCCACTGCAGGGTACCGTAGTCTGACCTATGAAGAGGTACTACAGGAGCTAGTGAAACACAAAGAACTCCTTCGGAGGAAAGACACCCACATCCGGGAGCTTGAGGACTACATCGACAACCTTCTCGTCCGGGTGATGGAAGAAACACCCAGTATCCTCAGAGTGCCATATGAACCATCCAGGAAAGCTGGCAAGTTCTCCAACAGTGAATAAAGCCAAGTGTGCTGCATTTGCAATTGGGGAGAGTGAAAGGGTGGGAAGCTGGGAGGGAGGGATGGAGAAAGTAAGCAAAAGGGAGGAAGGGAGGAAGGACTTGCCACTGGAAGAGGTAACACTATCAGGTTTCATTACATATTCCTTCATTGTAAAAAGTTATTTTACCTGTAAATATTAGCAGGGGCTATGAAGAGTGACCTTCGAGGTGAGCAAATTTTAAACTTAAAATGAAAATGGGCCAGATTCATGATGAATAAATATTTCCATGGAATTCATTTGGGTGCTGGTGCTGGCGCTGGCCACTAATCTGCCATAGGCCCAGAAATATCTTCATGAGTTCACGAATTAGTCCTCAGGAATAGATTTTTCATAAAGCAGAAGTGATTCTGTGGCTGCATTCTCAGAAGTCAGTTTATAGGCATTTAGCTTCAGGAATATTGCTCCTTAACAACACTACTTAAAAATAGTTTGAATTCTATATGCGTAAACACACATGAATATATATATATATATATATATATATATATATATATGTGTGTGTGTGTGTTCATGTATCTGTATATAAAATACATGCATATACCTCACATAAACATGTGTTTTTAGAATAACTGATTGCCTCTAGGTTAGGATAACTATTTCACAGATTGAAAATGTCTGTTTGTTCTTTTGATGCAAGACAAATCATTATTCCTCCCATTACTGCTCATTATGGACAGTCTGCTGCAAGTCACTCTTGCCTGTGTGAACCTTGGTTTCCAAGTAAGCTACTGTGTAAGTACATCAAATTTTAACTAATTTTCAAAAAGTAATCATCTCAGTTCCTTTTTGAAAGAATCAAGTTTTAGGAAACTTCATTAGCTCCACAACAGTGTGAATTTCTTTGAATTAATTTCTACCTAATTAGAGTTTTATTTAAGGTATAAGCAGAAGATTAACGCAATTTGTTTTGTTGAAATTCTGCATACCTTTGAAACACTAGCAAGGAAAATATTATAAAGGTATATCTGAAAATAATTTTTGGGGAAATAAGTTATCATCTGGTGCCCAATATCCCAAAGCAGTGAATAAATTCTAAGAATGAAGAATTGGGCTTGGTTTCAAGTTTCATAAATAATGGAACAGATGGTTGCCTTTGGGTCTTGAACCAAAATAAGACTTCAAGGAACGAGGGCTAGAGCAGATTGCTGTTAGCATGGAGTTCGTGCTTTCCATCACCCTTTCATAGTGAATTTATCACAAAAACTGTTCTGTCCACTCCCCAAACTGATGATTCTTTTATGAATTAGCTTTATGTATTTGCATAAAATTATTCCCAAATCCAGAATGAAAGGCAGTGATACAAAAATGCTGCTAATGTTATGCTTTTCAGTTTTACAACCTAAAACACTATGAAACAGAGTATCTGTCTTTCTGAATTTAAAATAAAAGGTTTGTCTCTATATGGAGACTCATGTGTTACCTAATTCTTTAGTGACTAATAGCATTTTTCTAATGTATTATCTCTATTCAGGGTTTATTGATTATTAAATAAAAAGCAACTGTAATAGTTTTGCTTATTTTAATATTTTGAGTCAGAGAATCCTTAGCCAAGCTTAATTAAAAAACCAAAATTCCTTGTTATCTATATTTTCTTAGTTACCTTAGTTTTCCTCTGAGAACATGCATTTTATTTTTATTTTTATTTTTATTTTTTTTAACGGAACCAGGGATTGAACTCAAGCCCTTGCACTTGCCAGGCAAGTGCTTATTCTACTGAGCCATCTCCCCGGCTCAGAACATGCATTTTAAAATTGTGAAAATTCTTAAGTTCAAAAAGCTACATGCCTTTCTAAAATTAAGAAATGAGAGAAAAGGCGCTTTCATCTCTTTTTCCCTCCACTCATAATTAAAGTTCTATGATACACTTAAAAATCTAGTGTAGGTTTTTATTTTCCCATTTGAGGTCTGGGTAATTATTTTTTTAACATGGTACCATTTTAAATTATTAAATGTTACACAATTCTTAGCATTTTTTTCTTACAGTGTTATTGGGACCCAAACTTTTTAAAATACCAGATACCATTTTCAGTATTATGACAGTTACCTGCACATACCATAATATACTTTAGTCAGATTTTTTTTTTTTTTTGTGGAATGAACCAAGATGCCATTTTTGTACTACGGTGATCTGTTTTCCACAGTGCTCAGTAATGGCACCGCAGCTATTGCTGTTCTTTTTTATGAGAAAATTTATTTTTAAAGGACAGTTCTTTGTGTATAGTAAAAATTAGTAAGGAACAGACTTATCCATACATGATGATTGGCCACAACCACGTCAGTATCTTTACCTTCAAAATCTTAGACAAGTATTGTATTTAAAATGAAATCTGCATTTACCACTGCTTGAAAATGTTCGGTTCCAATGCTTATGAATTTTCACCCATGACCCAGAGTAAACGTACTACATATTTTCATAATCAGTCAGTATAACAAACTAAAAAGTGAACTCCCAAGTAAACATATCAGTCTTTCTTGTGTTTGAGCAGAAGTGCAAACAGAGTAGTTTTAATTTGTGGCATTGTAGAAGAAAGGCCAAAAAGACCACCTTAGTTTATTTTTCCATATAAATATCCTAATAATATATTTTGTTAGCACTTTAAACATGAAAATAAAATGTATGTGCTCATTAAATAATGCATGGTACAATAGATTTATAAGCAAATTGACCGGCATTTATGCCTAAAAAAATAAAGCATGCACAAAACTATTTCCACAAGATTCTTTTTAAGTACTGAACTGACATTTATCTCAAGCCTATTTTAAGCTAACCTACATAATTTAACTGTTTCTGGTCTTAATTTAAAACAGTATTGTTTTACAGCCAGTTTTCCTCCCATTTCTAAGATTCACTTTATTGACCATACAGTCCTAGGCATCATGTTATAAAATACCAAGATCATTACTTAGAATTGTATATAAAATATTGTGTAACCCACATGAAAAATGCTTAAGTATTGCTTTTTGCTGCTATATTCTGCTTTGAGCCTAGTTTTGCAGCCCTCCCATGAATATAATGTTATCCGTAGATTATACATAACTTACATGTATTGCTTTTGGCAGTAAGTCAAGATTTAGTTGTAATTTTCCAGCTGTGAAAATGCTGCCTTGTATTTAAAAGGGTTTCATGAATGGAAACCTAAGTAAAGCTAAGCTCATTAGTGACAGTGACATTGGTTTCTTCATGTCCTTCCTTCATCATTGACCCAATCCCTGTATCCCCCTGCCAACCTCCCCCTGTAAGGGTGCTTACTCTTTAGCAAGGAGAATCTTTAAAAAAAACAAAAACAAAAAACCCTTCAGTCTTTAATGTTCCTATAGTAGTTATTACATTACAGCTTTTATTTTCCTCTGTAGCTTTTTAGAAAAAGCAAACTACCTTGCATTTTAAAGCAAGCTGAAACCTTTTTGATGGTCATGTACTCTTGTCTTATAGATACAGTAAATGTCACTTGTGTTTGTGTAAGTGAAGTATAAAGCATGCCCATTCACTTGATCTCTTTGAAGTAAGAGGGAAAGGATCACACTGCTGGTTCATAGTAGTAAATGTGAGGGTCTGGCAGCGCACATTTGAAAGCCCCTGTTTTCACAGATTTATAACTTTAATAATCTAGATGCAATCATTGGAAGCATTTAATATGCAATAGGTAGCACCTTAACTAATTAATTTGCATATGAAGGCTTTCCTGATGTATTGAATAAGAAGTGTAGAAGCTCTTCAAGCATTAAACTAGACTTGACATTTTGTTTCATTTATTTTCCGTCAAAAAGTCTACTCTTGCAATGGAATTGAAATCTGTAACTAATGATACATTTGGGCTTATTAATCTCAGAAGCTTCCAGATGGTTTGTATTTTGAGGTTCAAAAAAGGCTGCAGATCTAGAAATGGGGGTATACTCAGCAGGTATATGAATGATACAAGCATTATTTATAACTGAAGAGTATTACACTTACCTTCTTAAGTAAATGTTCCAGTAACTTATATACATTTTTGCAGGTACAAACTCAGAAGTCTGTAAACATTGTATAATTTATGTAATCTGATGCATGAATCAGAATTTTTATATATTATTATTGATTTATTAATATAGTTGATTAAAATGTTAAAACTTAATTTGGTTGTCACAGTTTCTTGTTATACATAAAGCAATGTTACCATCATGTATTTGGGCCTGAGTCCTCCTTGTCTTTCAGTATAGCTCTGGGGTGCTTCTTATGGGAGGTATTGTAGCAAGTGCTCTGTAAGACCTATAAATTTATTTCACTCTAAAACTGTCTCTGAGGTTTCATACATACCAAGTTTCTTGGTACCTTGCACATTCTTTAGCAAATTGGGAATGCCCTCTAGAAGACATACCTCATGGGAGTGGAGTGGACAGTTTCGTAGAAAATGACATTTGACTATGTATATGTAAGTGAAGACCTGTGCAGGATGCTTTCTAGTTCCATATTATTTCCATTCCTCACAATAACCGTATAAGGTAAGGAATGTACAAGTTATTGGAGACGTTTAAATAAACATCTTCACTAGGAAAAGACTAGAGTGGGCTTGACAGACCTGTAATGTTTTTCATGTGTACCCTCCAGGACCTGGTGGGGGTCATGAGTTGTTCACACATTGTGTCCCTTCAGAGGAGCACCCTTGTCCTCTATGAGTCTAATCTTCATGCATGCATGAGCACACACATGTATAACTACGTACCTGATAGTGTATTGAACAGTTACATCATCTGTGTTAGGAAATGCACTCCACGTGTACTCTTTGGTCTAAGCCACACACATTTGAAACAAGGGACTTGTATGCCGGTGAGAATATCTTCTGTTCTCTAGTTCTCAGCTGTGAAAGGCCTATCTATCCACCTTTCTTGGTGTGTCTGTTCTGAATTGTTCCACTTGATACCAATTGTTAGCATACACATTTTTTTCCTCTTCCATCTGTGACAGAGGTATTTGGGTCAGTTCAGGAACAAAGAGCTGATCCTAGTGTCTTAGGAGTGTTTCTGATGTTTAAATGGGCTTGTGATCTAAATATTTGCCTAACATTTCATATTTTTCTTAAATAATTTTACATGGTAACACATTTTCATAATTTCACGATTTTGTGGTGACAGTTAATATTTATAAACAGTATTCTTATATACCTATAATTACATGAGCCCAAATGCTTGATTTTTTATTATATTTGCACGGTAAAATTTGAGTCTTACATATTTGATGTTTTATCATTTCTTAGGCAGACTAAAAAGCCAGGTATGGTGGGAAGTAAGAAATTCACAAACTTAATTTTTCAGTGTTTAATTCTGGTGTATTGTGTTCAAATGTAAGATAGGAATGGACTTTTTACCCTACACTTGGTACATGTACCAAAGTTTGTAAATTATTTTTTGAATTACAACAGTAAAGACTTGCTACTGTAATTACATTCTCTTACACTCTTGACAGGTGACAGAAAACTGCACAAGAGACTACAGGTTATGTATATTTCTAGAAGACATTCTCATTTATGCTACAACTCTTGGTGCAGATACTGCACACTCCAGCTTTAGAGCCAAGTAGGTAAGATGGGTGATAGTGCAGCTTGGACATAAAAGGACGAAGATCACTGGACAGTGCCAATCCAGAGCCCATTTTCCTTTTTTTATTTTTATTTTGTTGAGAAACAAATATCAATGAGACAGTTTCCAAGCTGATTAATAGGACATTTTCAATAATTAATACAATGCACATTGTTACAGAACCCATTTTCCCCATGAACGGAACCACAGCTGTCCAGCCCTAGTCACTGTGGCTATTTGGAAATGAATATAAGGTTGGTTGCTACATCTGATGTTTGTAGAGAACGGAAAGTAACAGATATTTGTGAGAAATAGGATTTTCACATGTTAGCAGCTGATTTATTTCTTTTAAAAACAAAAAAAAACCAGAAGAGTTACAGTTTATAATTTCTAGGAAGAGAAATAACTGTTGTCATGGTAAGATAAATTACTTGGACTACAAGTAATTTATGTCTAATCAAAAACTGGGTCAGTGGGGCCAGCAACAGCTCCTTAGGCAAGCTCAGGGACCATATGTCCAGCACCACATGCTGCGCGGGCCCCGCCCCTGGGGCACTGTACCAGCCACTGAGACCGGATGTGGTGATGCACGCCATTAATCCCAGCACTGGGGAGGCTGAAAATAGGAGGATCACTACAAGTCCAAGCTGCATAGTGAGACCCTATGCCACACACATTAAAAAAAAAATGGATTGATGAAGGGGCATGTGGGGTGCACACAATAGGTAACATCATATATTCCATAGTCAGGGTGCTCATGAGGGAAGGAAATGGGGAGTGTCAATGAGTGTAAGCTTTCAGTTATATAAGGTAAGTGCTGGCTGTCTGGTGTTCAACATGCCTACACTTAGCCATACTGTACTGCACCCTTAAAGATCTGTTGAAAGTATAGATTCACTAATAAGAGTTTTTAAAATAATAAAAGCTTCTTTTCTAGCTAAAAAGAAAGAAAATGCTGCTTCTAGTTTGCCTGTCCCTGTACCTGACTGTGCCATTGCCTTTTAAGTTTAAAAAAAAAACCAACACAGGTAACTTGATATACATTGAGGTCTCTGTTCTAACAGGGC